GGGGCCGGGCAAGCGTCCTAGGGCACAGCAGAGGTGCAGCTCCCGGCCTTGCTGCGGGGGGGCGGGGGGCAATCCCGGCTCCACACACACTGGGCCGGAGCGTGCAGCGCCCTTCCCTGCTGCAGGCCGGGCGCCGGCTCCTGCTATGCTCCTCACCACCCCCACTTGCCTGAGAGCCTGGCCCGGCTCGCTCTAGGCTGGGAAGGCAAAGCTAGCCCTTGCCCAGCAGTTGAGGGAATACAAGTATGTAGGATGCAAATTAGCTGAAATCAGGTTGGCTGCTACTTCTGCCCTTGCAGAACTAACCTGGGTGCACGGTCATTTCCAGCCCAGTGTTGTCAACCCAGATGGTCCAGACACTTCGAATAAGCCTCCAAGTATCTTTTTTACTGGGGAGAACGTTTTGAGGTTTCACCCATCCCTTCCTTCTCCTGTGGCAGGACTGTCAAAGATCCAGCCGGCAGGCCAGAGCCGGCCAGGGATACATCGTTCTAGCACGCTGGCCAGGTGTTTTGGTGACTAAGACGATTTGAAACAATCAGATGCATTTGAAAAATCCCTTTGGGTGTCTGTCTGCATCCTTAGTCACAAAAATTGCTTTGAAAATGTGGTCCATTGTCTCTTAGAAGTGACCGTGAATCCAGGTCATCTGACACCTTACCAGAATGACTGGACCAGCAGCTGGGCTTGCAGCACTTCCTGGAGGATAGCTGTTTGAATAGCAGTGACAGTAGGAGTGATCTGGAGTTTGTTTATGGAAAACTCATGATTTACAGGTGTCACCAGAAGATTTTTAACATAGACTGTAGGACATAATGCAATTTCTCAATCACTTGCAGCTCACTCATTCAAGGGGCGGCATACATCCAGCTCCTGAAGATTTCCACGAGAATTAAAAATGCCAAGCATCTCTCAGGATTGGCCTCATACATGGCAGGCTACAATAAAACCTGCTACATTTTCTCTAAGACTAATATGAAGATGCCCCAACATATGTTACTTCTCACTCCTTTCTCAAGAATAAGTATAACATTTAAATAAAGCTTAACAATGTAGGATGGTGATTTGGCTTGAGGAAAAGCTTACTTTAGAAACTGTAAAACCACCCATTAACCAGGATTTGGGATCCTCAGGGAACTTCATGGCAATTATGGCTACTGTTACAATATTCTTAAGCACTTCAACTTATCTGCCACCCTGTCTAAGTTTGCACACAGCATTTATATGTACTAGCTCTTGTCCTCCGTAGGTGTACCAGTCCCATAGGCAGCAAACTCAGCTGCTTTTCTCTGCTTACCTTTATAATCCATGGGGCTGAGGTGTCTGCCACACTCTGGGTCCTATTGGTCCTTTCTGCTCTCCAATGGGCATCGGGTGGCCTTTCTCTCCACCGCAGGATATTGAAGGATCTTTGCTTCCCATAAGTAAAAGGCTTTTGTGGGGCCATAAGCTGAGACTTCACAGAAGTGAACTGAAGAGCCTGGACTCCGAGAGAACAAGTAGAGGTAACTGGGTTGACAACCCAGAGAAACAGACTGTAGAACTTCTAGTTCGGGTCTTGCTGGTCTCCTGAACTCTATCCCAAGGTGTTTTTTATACTGCAGTCACTGCTGTGACTAATAGTATCATAACTATATAGTAGAGATACCCAAGTTCACTTTAACCTACCTAGCTCAGTTATTGGTAGCTATCTAGAGCAGCAGTACAGAGCTCAGTAAAGCCTACAAAACTGCTCAAGAAGCAGAGTAAAGATGAAGGCAATAAGGTCACCCTGAGTCCTGTGCTGCCATGGCTACACTGGTCCCAGGATCCAAGATGACTAGTTTATAGTTAGTTCAGGTATGTTTACAGTACAGTAATATAATAGCAGTGACATCTTCCTGCCTATGTCCCTAGCATTACATTCAGCTCCTGTAGCATCAATGGTCTCCTTGCTCATGATTTTACATATAATTGAGAGCAACTGACATTACATATGTGTAACTGGTGGCTGAAACCTTCAATTACCACTGATCTGCAAACAGATTTGAAATGCAGAAACAAACAAGTATAATCTTGCTATTAGCTGGTCCGTATTTAGTGCCAAATCTTCCACTACCATCTGCAAACATGCAAGGGCTGACACACACATTCTGCTGCACAGAAGGAGGAAGAGAAGAGGAGGAAAGAGCCTAGCAAAGGTTTCACAGCCCCAAAGCCCCTGCACAGGAAATGCAGACTATTTCTCTACCTGTCCAGTTGTACCCTCAGGGCTGATTCTATTCCTCAAACTCAAAGTATTTCCTTGCACTCAGTGCCCATATATCCAGGTTTTGCATGTTAACGATTTGACCCATAATTCCTGGTGACAATAATTGAAAAATACAAGTAAAATATCATTGTGCACTAATAACAGGCATAGAGCAAACACCAAAGGACAAAAACTGTGTGTGATAGTGGGAGAATTTAGCCCAAAATTTAGTTTTACATTATTAAACCAATAGGATCCGTAGCACAATACTTGTTTGGTGATATGCATGATGTACAGGACTGCTTTGTTCCTGAAATATGGAGTCATCAAAGCTTCTGATGACAACTAACGTTGCTTCTCTATTTGTTTCTATTTTTATACTGTCCTCCCCCGCCCAAACTTATAAACTGCTTCTGTACTCTTTGCTCAAGAAAAACTCCCGTTGACTTCTGTGGGAGGTAACCTTACCTCAGTAACTGGAGAGAATACAAATTTCTGTATCCATGTAGAGCCCCACAGGTTTTTGTGAGCTTTACAAGGAACATCTAATTGCTGAGCTGGGGCCAGAATTTGTCTCCAAGATTTCTGTGCATGTGTCTTTCAGGGCTGTGGTTTTTCATTCTGGCACTGTGTCATCCTGCTACGGTATACAATTCATATCTCAGGATAAGCCTCTTTTTTTTTCCTTTTCATTTTCCAGTGCCCTTGGACTTCTGGAAGGAGAAGTTTTTTCTTGACTGGATCCAGTTAAATCTCAACTGATTTGTACAAGAACTTGAGCATGCTGTGCTTTTCCTTCACCAATTTCTACAGCTGGTAAAAAGGTCTGGAAAAAACTGGAAACGTGCTTTACATGACAACTTGGTAGCAGGTGGTTTAATCTATTACATTATCTATTATGTGTTTACAGCAAATAAGTATAAATTACCTCTGTTCAGTTATTTAGTTACTACAGGCCTTAACTGCAACTTTTCCTCTAACTGATTAGTACCATTTTTTTGAGTTGTACTAGTTGTTTTGACCACAAGACTCAAAGAGTGAGGTATTTCTCAATATGAGCAAGTCTGTCATGGCTTGAATGTTAGGACTTCATTTGCATCTGAACAATGCGCACTGGGAGTCAGACAGGAAGGAGCTGGTGCAAGAGAGCCTTAAACCAGTGTTCTTCAGTCATCAATCCAGGTTCAAATGTCAGACCCAGATCCTCAGTGTGGGAGGTAAGTCACTGGTGACACAAACTTACACAAGAGTGACAATCTGGCCCAGCCCCTTTTCCTTCTCCCCACCTCTTTTCTGCTTTTGGTTGCATGCAAAGGAAAAACCTGACATTCTGAGGAGGGAAGAGGAGAGCCAAACAGGAAAAAAAGAGAATGTTTTCTACCATTTTTCTTTCTTTCACAAAGATATCAGGGATAGCAGGTGTCATTTATCCTTCTTTTGCTACAGGACTTCTAAGATAACCCAGGGTATATCTACACTGCACTCATGGCAGCATACTCATTGAAGTCGAAAGATACCTGAGCTAGCTTTAAACTAGTGAGCTTGGATACTGGTAGCCATATAGCCCCAGCAACACAGAGACTGGCATAGACTGATTTACCTGGCTAAGAAGTACATGTATTACACAGTAGAACCTGGATACTTCCCAGCATTAGGTTCCCAAGCCCTCTGTGAAGACAAGAGTTTGTGAAGTGTCCAGGGGGAATGCAGATCCATAGCAAACACTGATGAACCCCAGCTGATTGGAGAAGTGGTGCCCTTTGGAGTAAAAGCTGTAGCAAACAGCTAGGTGGCTCATCCTTCATTTGGCTACCCACTGTGCATTAGGTAGGTTGTGAACTGAGTATGAATGATTCAAGCTCACGTAATGGGAGCTTTCTTTGGAGAAAGAATGTTGAATTTTTAACAAAAAGAGCTTCTCACTTCAGGCCATACAAAGGAGCCCTGCCATGAAACAGCCTGCCTTCTCCCTCCTGCCCCACATGCACCAGCTGCTGAAAAACTGTAACATAGCTGCTTTGGTGCATTCCCACAATGTGCTCAGCAACACTGGGGCTCTCTGTCTCAGGTTTGCTTGTTGGTGAGTACCCAGTGCTGCTCCTGTGATAGGAGGAAGTGTCCCCCCTATCCTTCCTCCCCAAATTAGAACATTTATACCAAAGACTACTGCAATTTGATCCTATGAATTTTGGCTCTTCTGCATTACCACAGTTCCATGAAGTCAGTAGGCCCTTTGATTGACCAAGGAAGTGGGATCGGGCCCTCTCTGTGTTACTTATGAGCAACAAGGGAACTGTTGTAATGAAAACATTAGGAGGCCTAGGACATCAGTGTCTTGGGTAACAGCCACATTTTGAAAGGAAGGATAGGGAGAAGAGCCTGATGCCAGGGGAAAAGGGCAGGGAGAAGGATTTGTATTATCTCTTCTCCCATTAACATTCTCCATATGCTAATGGATATAGAGATTTCTAATTTTAGCATGGTGGGGACGAAGACAGTGTGTACCCTTGGGAGCTGGCACATGGCTGGAACATTACCAAAATGGCTCATCTTCCCAGTCTGAATGTATCTTTCAACAGTCTGTCCCCCTTGCCAGATCCTAATGCTTATCTGTTAGCAAACAATATTCACTCAAGTATGGGCATTCAAAAAAGTACATTAATTTGCAATCAACATTTCTGACAGACAATGAGGCAGAAGTTATAAGCTCAGCTGGTCACATGTACAGGTGACTTAGGGGTGCACAGTAGAGCACAAATGATAAGATATCCCACAATACACTTATGACCGTTTCTCCAGTTTAAGGACTGAGATACCCATCCTGCAAGCCCTTCAGGCATAAACACTTCCATGTACCTTTACAGATGGAGGCCTTGCAAGCTGTTGTCTGATAAGAACTGAAAGGCTTTGTCCCATCTGATAACATTCTCTTTAGAATTCCCCAGGCCGGACATTTTCTGTTTTGGGGGAGGAAGACAAGCAAATAAATTATCTGTTTTTTTACTGTATTAGCTGGGAGTTCCAAGCAGATTTTATGTAGGGATCACCACATTCTAACAACAGCTTTTCTAGGCTGATTTGGGTGCAAAGACTGTATTTTCAGTAGTGACATCCAGGTAGTTTTTGTTTTAAAGGTTTTCATGTGCTGTAACTCACACCTGTGTCACCTTGGGCCATAACCAAATCAATTCTAATTTGTGCATAGGCAAAGAAGTGATAGAGGTGAAAATACCAAAGGTTCACCAGGATGTGATGCCTAATGATGAGCAGTAACTACTGCAGCAACGCATCAGCCACTATGAGTGTCAATGAGGTGTCTGCCTTCCCGCTGACTTTAGAACAAAAAACTGGCTTTGCCTTTGTAGGGATTTTATGTATTTTCTTGGGACTTCTTATCATCAGATGCTTCAAAATCTTGCTGGATCCCTATAGTAGCATGCCTTCCTCTACTTGGGAAGATGAAGTCGAGGGGCTGGATAAAGGGACGTTTGAATATGCCCTTGCATGAAAATTCAAGAGTCTCCTGCCTTAATTTTGATGTTGATGTCATTTTGGAAACCTACTACTGACACATTTGTAATATAGATCTACATTTTGATGGTGCCATTCATTTTATTAAATAAATATTTGTTGCAAACTCAAAAAGCATTTCACGCTGCTTTCCTTCTGGGAATTTGCCTATTCTAGAATTATGTAGAAGAAATAGCAAATGTCAAAAAATATGCTAGTGCACGATGAACTAAAAATTGAGAGAAGAAGGGCAGAGAAATCTAATCTCTCCTGCTTCTTCACAGGAAGAGCTCCATTGATAAAGAAGGAGGGTGCAGGACAGAAGGGACGGTGGTTGTCACTTCCTCCCCTCTTAACTAACACTATTTCCTTAAGCCCATTAACAGGCCTTGGAAATCTCAGTAACACGCAACTCAGTGAGCCAGCCCAATATATGGGCCCAGGTTAGCTTGCAAGATTAGACAGCAGCACAAAGGAATATGACACTGCAGGCATTAGTTTGTGTGTAAAGGGGTGGGTGTAGGTAGAAGGGAACTCCTAATTTCAGTTACTAAAAGAATAGAAAAACCAAAGAGGCATCTAACACTGATTGCATTCACAAATGAACATCTCTCCCTCAAAAACGTATAGGTGCTATAATGCTGGCTATGTCCACGACAACAGAGCTTAGTGCTACTACTGTGTCTGGGGTTTCTGCAGTCTTTTTTGAACTGTGTAGGACCAGTCAGAGAAAAGCTATTCAGCCTTGCTGGAACACAGCTCGTCTTCTACTCAGAACAAATTGTTAGAAGGCCATGCAAGAGCTATTGGCCATGCAAGAGCTATTTTAATTTTTTTCATGAAAATGTTGGGGTGCTATAAATAGGATATATTATGAACTCTGCATTACAAGGCATATACCTGGATCAGAATTCAATCAGATCCTCTAAAGCCACTGTTCCTACTCCACTTACATTTCTCATATCTCTACAAATCTGTTAGTGGAAGACAAGAAGCAAATATCAGTTAAAAATCCAGTCCTTAAGTCTAGCTGAGCTAAACTCAAAGCAGAACCTAATAGGGTAAGTGTACACCTATGCCTTCCCGTAGGCTCCTGGAGACTGATTCAGCTCCCAGTGCAAATAGCTTTAACTTCTATGATTTGTGCTAGCTGGTAAAAACTTCATGGGTTCATTATGCCAGTTTGGCATTTCCAGAGTAGAGGCACACTGCATGCTAACAGCTGAATGGAACAGGGATACAGAGATAGATACACAGTCCATTATTCCCCCATTGCAGGGCAACTTCTCAGCTCCTTTGCCCTACACACCTACCACTGAACATGGTTTGGACTCTCACAGAGAGGATTCTATCACAAAGTACTCTTACAAGACAAAAGGGAAAAAAAAACAGAAAGAAAAACCAGGTGCTAAGTAGTTACAGTTCAAGGTCATCTCTCAGTACAAAGAGCTGTTAAGTGAGTGTGACAAGAGTAGACAGAAATTCAATTCCATCTTTGAGAAACTTGGAGGCAGAATTTTGTTTAAGCATCACTTTTACTCAGCGGCTCTGTGTACTAAAAGGTGCAAGGACAAGAGGATCAGTTGGAGTAATTTGCTTTACCCCCATTCAGCACAATGTATATTGCGCCTTTTCCTTATCTGCTGGACAAGTGGCAGTCAAAAGAACCATGAGGCAAAATGCCATTCAGAGTGGAAAATGCTGGATCATATGGGAAAGGTCACAACAATCAAGGTACACAACGTAAAAAGCTTGGTTAATGACCAGACAACCTTTTAAATTGTTCAAATTCCAATGTGAGAAATCTTTGAACTACACAGCTTCAATCTGCTACATTTGTTTTCATTTAATTCAAACAGAAATGCCTACAGCACACAGTATGCAATTATCCAGTACAGGGATTCAGTGTTCTGTACACAGACTCAGAAGCATGCTTTGCATCTTAGTAACCAAGTATAATACACTATATTATTGTTTTTGTCCACAAACTGACTGTATTTTTTTAATTTTACAGTATTTTGTGGTAGGCAACTACCCAGTTCCATTTTGTTTACAGAGCACGGTTACGCTTTTTGCCCCTCCATCCCTGAAAGCAAAGAAAGCACTCCTTCCAGCATGCTGGAGGTGGGTAAGTTTTCAAAAGGCTGTCCTCAAAAATACAGCAGACAGAGGCCTCACAAGTTCACAGATGGCCTGATTCCCTTGTCATTTCTCACCCCCAGTTTATACTGGGGAAGCTAAGCCATGGAGAGAGGAAGGTTAAACCAGCAGTCAGAAATCAGGGGTCCCATCTGTATTTGGGTTCTCAGTGTGTTACCGATTACATTTAAACACAATTCCAGTTAAGCCTCTATTTGATGTAGTTTGACCATTCAATATTGTTGGTGCTAGCCTCTGTTTCAGACTGTATGTTTCAGCCTATGGAAGAAGTTGGGCAAGACTATCATTTATAACATAGTGCTAGCACAGCATGCCCGCATTAAACTTTGTTTCTAAATGCTATTTTTAAATGTGTTGTAAAGGCTTGTTTGGAATTGGGCTTAGAGTACAACAGGATCTGGCGCACAGGTCTGTACTGAGACCATCACACCATGGGCAGGATTCAGATTGGCTCTGTAAGTGCCTCAGCTTCATCACTGCCCTGCTTAGCTTTTGAACACCTGTCCCAGGTGGAAGATTCAGAATGACTCTGTCCTCCTAGAGTCAATACAGAGACTTCAGAGATTCTTGGAAGCAATTCAGGTATGTACATCTATGTGCTCTATGCAAAAAACAGGGAGTGGGATGTGCTTCCCAACGGCAATTTAGAAAGCCCACTTAGAGATAGCCAATGAAAATTTCTGAACTCCATCCCTCTTCAAGCTATCCCACAGGCATCTCTGTTAACTGGGATTCAGAGAGTTTCTGAGAAAGCTGTGCCCTGGGTGATTCACAATGTGGTGGGAGGCAGGCTGCAGATTTTGCCTCAAGCAAGGGGGAGCCTGCCTTTTTAGCCCAGTAGTTATGCTGCTTAGAGCCCACTGTGTGGGCCGGGCGCGACCCGAGCCCTTTTCCGTGCTGCACGCGGGCTGTGGCCAGCAGCCCGGGCACACTGGATCGGAGAGGGAGGGCCAACGAGCTGGAATTAGGCACAAACGCTTAGCGGTAGTTTAAAAGATTGTTTACTTACACCGAGATGGCAGTGGTGTAGGCTGGAAAACTTGCTTGAGTTGCGGTTACAGACACAGACAACACGGACGATCACGTGGAGGTTGCTAGGCTCCACAGAACAGAGCTCCGATGCTCTGGGTGAACGAGCCACCAAAATCAGAATCGTAGGTACATCTTATAAAAGTTGCGATCGAAGACGGGAAGAGGTGGGCGATGGATCAGGTCACCAAGCTCCTCTGAATCTCACACAGGGTCTCTATCACCCTGCCGTGTATCCAGAGTCCCCACGAGATGGATGTGGAGTCCTCTTCGGCTTGTTCTTCTGTCTGGCAAGTCATTACATTTTTCTGTGCCTTATTCCCACTTTACACATGAGAGAGCTAATATAGTTACCCTCACTAAAAAAATGGTTTGAGATCAACAGACAAAAAAAAGTGTTTAGCACAATTTTTCACTAAGTTTGGCATTGCTGAAGAATCGACAGGAAGCTGAAGCTTCACATGAAACACCTCAACTTCTCAAACTTGTCTACAGAAATCTAGATTGCTGAAGTCAGTGAACACTCAGCTGACCATGATTCAGGCCTTTGGAACAATTCTGAGCAAGAGATAAACATGACAAAAGCAAGCAGCATAAGGAAAGGCTGAAGGAAATAGGGTATGAAGGACAAAAGGGCGGGGATGAGACTTGATAGGAAATACATGAAAGGCTGCCATAAAGAAGGAGAAAAACTGTCCTTCCTTGTCAGAGGTCAGGATTGTGCGGGCCGGGAGCGACCCGAGCCCTTTTCCGTGCTGCACGCGGGCTGTGGCCAGCAGCCCGGGCACACTGGATCGGAGAGGGAGGGCCAAAGAGCTGGAATTAGGCACAAACGCTTAGCGGTAGTTTAAAAGATTGTTTACTTACACCGC